AAGAAAGAGAAAATTGAATAGATGGGTTAGCTCAAGGATACCCACTGCCTCCAAACTCTAATAACAGTCCAAATTAGAGAGAAGATCCAAAGTTCTTTTTTTTTTTTAAAGAGAAAAGGTAAAGTATTTCATTAAAAATAAGACTGAAAGAGAACAGCCTTGCCCACTGAGGCACTGAGCAAGACAACCGCTTTGTACATCTCAAAAAAAAAACAAAATATGAACATCATACAAAAAGATTATTATGCTCCAAAAAAGAATTGTAAGGACAATTCTTGAACAGTTTGTGAGTCGCCACCCAGGAAATATAACCTTCCCCAAATAGAGTCTCATATTTCTTTCCGACCAGATTGACCACAACACCACCGCTTGCAACACCTTGCATACAATCTTACCTCTCCTCGACAGACCCCTCAGACCCCAGCACCATAACGGATCCAATACATTCCTTGGGAGGCACGACTGAACTCCAAAACCCTCTAGCATTTTCATCCAAATTACCCAACTGATTCTGCAGTGCAGAAAGAGATTCTCCAACATTTCAGAATTGTTACCACATAGGACTCATCTGCTTGGTTCTACTACCGAACCTCTCATTGACAAATTGTCAACTGTTAACCACCTCCCTAAGGCTGTCACCCATAGACAAAAGGAGAATTTTAAAGGAACCACCGTCCTCCATACCAAGTCTTCAGGGAATTATCTTCCCCCTCCCTGCAAAGGCTGCTGTAAAAAGATTTGACTGAAAACCTACCTGATTTCTTCATTAACTCCAAGGACAGCTTAAGTACATGAGCTAGGATTTACAATGCTCCATTGATAACTAATGGAGAAGTGGGCAAACTGATTTCTTGGATATCTGTATCTGAGGAATTTAAAAGTCTGAATTTGTCTTCTTTTTATTGTTCTGATTTCTGGTGGAAAGTGTAACTGCTGTGGTCTTCAGGCTGCCATTCTGGGTCTGATCCCAGCTTGTTTGTTTTTTAGTAGAATAAAATTACTTTACCTTTTCCATAAAAAAAAGATAACTAATGGAGAAGTTCTCTCCTTATTTTAAGACTCTAACCAACTCTATCTTAACAAAATACCAACATTACTTGACTACTTCAACAACCCTCATCCATGCAGTGTTCTCATATTTCCATGTAATCAACTTAATGCGCCACTCCCTACTCGTAATGTGCCCAACCACTACCGTAAGACTCTCAACCCCTATAACTTGTTCATGTTATGATTCCACATTACAAGGAAACTCCCTAATTATCTTGACTCCATCGACCACTAATGCCCCACTTATTAGGACACATAACATTCCACCCCCCTTAAAATTGGCCTTACCCTAAGGTCAAAACCTCCAAGATCCCAAATGAAAAGGATGATTACAATAAAGGATAAATAAAACCCTAAAAACTGAATTCTATAATAAATAAAGGGTGGAATTTGAATTTGATGTAGAGTTTCTCCTTGATATGAATTTTCTTCCTCTTTTTCATCTTTGGTACCATCCCCACCATATGGTTCTGCATTGACTGTCAATTTGATGCTGTCTCCCGATCTTTCTTCACTGACTTACTTTTCTTTGTCCATGCAGTATGCCTTATTGATCACCGCATTGTTGTCTTCTTTTTCTTGTGGGGCGCTTTGGGATCTAACAAAATCGACTAGATTTCTTTGCAGTTTTTGGATCTGGATACAACCACAATAGTTTACTTAATATTCTTCATAATCTTGGCAAAATCTCGTTGAAGCTTGCACATCATTTCATTGAGATCTCTTCAAAGTTCCTCCATTAGGTGCCTTGGAATTCCCCCTTTCATGGCCCCAGCTGGGGACCTGTGGGTCATGGGCCCACTTAGTTAATCTCCATTAGACCTGCGAGGCAAATAAGACGCCTCACCTATCTCCTGTTCCATCATTTTTTCCTGCCCAACCACAAATGAACCAACTTCACTCTCCAGTTGTACAATGCATCGTTCAAAGCTGGGATCCATCCCTTCTCTAATACCATTTGTTACTTGCCTGAGAGAGAGACCAAGTAACAGGTCATTGGAGCAGCAATGTTTGGGCAACTGATGTGAAAAGGGAAATCAGATAAAATCACTTTATTCTTCCCTTTCACCGATTTTGGCACATAAGAGAAATTTGAACAGTTGGATGAGTTTGAGGAAACCCACCACCCCCAAACTCTGACAAGAGTCCAAATTAGAGAAAAAAACTGAAGTTCTTCATTAACTCTAAGAACATCTTAAATACATGAGATAGGATTTACATCACTCAAATGATAACTAATGGAGAAATTCTCTCCTTGTTTTAAGACTTTAACCAACTCTATCTTACCAAAACACCAACGCTACTTGACCAATTCAACAACCATCAGCCATGCAACATCCTCGTAGTTCCATGTAAACAATTTAATGTATCACTTAACTCATAATGGATCCAATCACTATCGTAAGATTCTCAACCCATATAACATTCATTTTATGATTCTACGTTACAAGGAAGCTCCCTAATTACCCAACCCCATGGACTCACTAATGGCCCACTCATTAGGACACATAACAGTTACTGTGAAGCTGGGCCTCAACCTGGCCTGGCTGGCTACAAGTTGTAGTCAGCCCAATCATGCCAACATAGTGTTGTCGAGTTTGATAATAACATTGGGGATTAGGAAATCTCCCACAGACATTCTTTACTCATTTAATTCAATAAGTGGCACTACTTATCAAAAAATAAATAAATAAGTGGCACTGGGCGGGCAAAACTCCACCACTAGAATGACCAAACATCCTATATAAGGCATCCAAAACAAGAAACCTGAAGTGAACTTTCTAACTGTGCAGCTATGTTATATATATGCAAGTCCCAAATGTGCGAGGTTCATTTTTATAATAAGATAAATAAAAATATTATTAATAAGAAAGGAGTTTATTATTCCGTTTTTATAAGCTATAAGTATATTGTATATTGTATTAAAGGAGGGACAGGTTACCTCAAAAAAGTAATTACAAGGCCAAGAATGCCAATATACAAGGAACGTAGAGCGCTGAACGGCTGAAGTTCTATTGTTCCTATTTTATTTCTAGGACAACTTACTTGGGAGGGACCATCATGATCAGGGTTCAAATCCTCTTACTTGTAGTTTTATAGCTAGCTTAAGGCTTTAAGGCGTATTTAATGACATACTTTAAATTTGAATTTGAATATTAATTAAATATGTTAAATGTAGCATTAAATATAGCATTAAATATAGGAGAGAGGAAGTAATTATTGGAGCTATTAGAGAGAGAGGGAGTAAATATAGGGTTTATAGAGTATAGGAGTTATTAGAGAGAGGAGTGGTATTATATAATATCAAAATCTGAATGTATCAGCCAATACATACATAGTATCAGTCCGTATCAGGCCTGTATTGGCTGATACAGACCCAATACAGGCCCCACCTGTATCAGTCAGATACAGACAAAAAGAATCAAACCTTTGGTTTCATAGTGTTCCAACTTCCACATATCGTACCCCCACCGGAATGGTACATATTGGTGAAAGAGGCTCTATCAAGGCAATGATCATGGCACTATTACAAGGTTCAGGAGTGGACTTCTCCCTGAATCTAGATAGGTTAAAGACAAAAAGAGATTCTAAAATATATGTCATTACATTCCAAACAAAGAGATTTTGCATAGTGCAAATAGCTTACTTGATTTATGATAGGGCTATTTCTTTTTGGTTTTTTAGCCCTTTTGTACATCATCTCATGTACACACTCCCTTTTGGTTTGAATGAAAGTTTCCCCATCTCAGAATAAGAAAGAAAGATGGGCCAGGACATTTTCAGAACTTCAGTAGAGATGCAAAGCCACAAATCATTGACATCTAAAATGAAGCTCATCCAAATTGATTTTGACATCAGCTAATTCCTTAGCTAGGCTATTGGCTAAGGGACTTGGGATGCCATCACTCTTTCAGAAGAATAAATATTTGTATCGTTCTACTGTATTATACAATGTTTATATTAGCTGCACCAGATGTTTTGTGCTAGTCCTTTCCATTTGTATGGAGTGCAGGAGCTGCACTCTTTTATTTCACCATCATCAGTAAATTCCTTTGATTATATTATATTGGATGGAAATGGCTATTAGCATGCACATTGCTATCATAGATTTTGAGAAATGAAGAGTCATATCCCTGTTTCCTCCATACTTGTTTATATCTTGGCATCTTAGTTTGTGGCAACCAAATTACTACAACAGTTTAGTTTATTGAGTCCCATCTCAACTTCAACATGTAATTCTGCATTGTTAAGAAACCAAGACTTTTGCTGCTTTCTTAAGCATTACAAAGTGTTATCAGAATATAGCTAAAGAAAAATACATTTGCCTTTATGGAAGGTTGCCCAAGTCATTTCTAGTGGAAAATTATGTCATCGAATTTGAAGTTGAACTATAAGTTAACAAATTATCTACAATTGTCATTATCAAGATACTTCAAATGGTAATTCTTACCAGACTTTGAGGTTTCATTTAACCTGGCTCTTTTGGGAAAAGAACATTGACAGGACTAGAGCATTCATCAAAAAAACATTGACAGGATTAGAAAAGAATAAAGTAAAACGTGGCAGACTTGCCAAATACGCAAATGAAATACCAAGAATATGTATAAGAAAAGGTATAAATTTCTTTAATTCTATATCTTATCGGAAAAAAGGTGAATATTTCGGGTTGCTCGTCCGCATGCCTTCCACAAGTTATCCGTTTCAGCTACTAAACTCAGCAGACACTTGAATATCACAAATCATGACCAGGTGGGTGGTTTGAGAAAAGGTAAATACTAACAGAAACCCTAACTTAAAGAAACGGAGGTAGAGAAAAGTCTTAACGTTTCACAGAACAACCACGGAAGCCCAAGTATGCAACGAAAGTTCCTCGAATTGTTACCACATCAAAGATAGGAAAATGGAAAAACAGGGAGCAAAATGACGTAGAATGCCAAAAAGGGACTGACCTGCAAGGAAGCGAGCTGCTCCTCGAGCGACTCAAGAGCGTCGCGAATATTCAAAAGACTCTCAGCTTCATCGTCAGCTTGACCGCCGTCGTCGAGAGAACAGAAACCGTTTTCTCCTAGGTAGTCTTTGTTCCGCGTCGTGGCATTGTTGATGCAGTTGTTAATCTTCGAACGAAGCTCAGAAGCTCGAGATAGAACTACGCCAATCTCGTCTCCGTCCATGTTCCTGTCTCCGTTGAGGTTGCCCTTCTGCTTCTACTTCTAAGATTTTAAAATAAATCTTCCATTTTATTTACCTTTATTTCCACTTCTACGGTTGACATTGAACTGGGACCTTACTCACGGAGAGAGAGAGAGAGAGAGTGAACTCAAAACGGCCAATCGACCAAAAACAACTAAAACCGCCAAAACATGCGCTGTGGAGGCCAACCGGGGTGGAGTCCAGAATGTGGGAAGTAGTCGACCCGGTTCGGAATCTTCCTGGGGAAATAAAATAACTAAAAAATAATCAATATTTGTGGATGGAATAATAACTTGGCCACTGTGGGCTTGATTTGTTTTACACCGCTGGTCCCAAGCCCAACGGTAAGGTTGACATTAAAACTTTTCTGTTAAAGATTCGGTGTTCATAGGGGTATTTTAACTCCAAAAAGGCAGCCTTAGTTTAGTTACTTGGAATATATAAGCATTAGAAAGGTTGGCTTGGTTGGTAAGGTCTCCTGGTCATAGAGGAGATTTGGGATCAAATCCCGTGTGCACCTGGGTTGGAGGCCTCCCATTGTGTAGTCCTTAAAAAAATAAAAAATAAAAAAGAATATATAAGCATTAAACTATAGTTTTTTTTAAGGCTAAAAGCATATTTCATTCTTTCAAGAGATTGATACACAGAGATGCCAAAAAGGCCAAATAAAGTTCAGAGACGATTTTTCAAGAACAACAAAATAAAGATATGGATGAAGGAGAATCGAAAGAACACTTCTGCAAACAAAACAAGATAAATTAAATCACCAACAGAAGTGGATAAGTACATCTCCAAATCACCACAACCGGCGAGCATAACTGATATGAGAGGTTTCCAACAAAGATGATAACTAACAATAGAAGTTACAAAGCCAAACAGTCAGAATCAATAACTTCCAACCAATCCATAAAAGACGGCAAGGCTAAGAGTTATAACTGCCATCTAGTACATCGGAGAACTGTCAAGGGGGCAACAACCAATGTTAGAACACTAGTGGGAGAGACTTCAAATTTTAAAATTGCTATGGTTCTTCACCAAGGTTCAACATTTAGCCCTTATCCATTTGCATTGATTATAAATGAATTGACTAAACATATATATTTAGAAGGAATCCCCATGGTGCATGTTGTTTGCTGATGACATTGTTTTTATTGATGAAACTAATGAATGATTAATTGCAAAAATAAGCTTAAGGACAAATGAATCATAAACAAAAAATTTTAAAATAAATAAGATTAAAACTAAGTACATGACATGTAAATTAGTAATAATAGGAGTGTAAATCAAGATATACTTAATTCAATAATTCATAACAAGGGAAAGATTGAGGAGGATGTCACCCAAAGGTTAGAATGGACAAAATAGGGGTATATTTGGACTTTTATGTGATAGGCGAATACTAGTTACTAAAAAAACTTCTACAAAATAGTTGTAATACGAAGCAGAGTATTGGACAGTCAAGAAACAATATATCCAAAAAATGAATGTGGCAAAAATTCAAATGCTAAAATGGATAAATAGAAAACTAGAAAGGATATGATTAGGAATGAAGCTATCCATATGAACCTAAGCTCCAATAGGTGATAAAATAAGAGAGAGAGAGAGAGGGGGGGGGGGAAGTAGACTAATATGGTTTGGACATGTGCTTAGAAGACAACCAACTTCGTCACTTAGAAGAAGTGATTTGTTACACATTGAAGGGGCTAGAAGAACTTGAGGTAGACCAAAAAGGACATGGGTCAATAAGAAATTATTTAAGCACTAATATTTTAGCAATGGATATGGCTTTAAATAGAACAAATTGGCAAACTAGGATTCACGTAGTCAACCCTATATAGTTGGGATAAGGCATGGATGATGATGATTTGTGGATGGAATAAGCTAAAGCAACAAGTGATCTAAGACAATTAGGAATCAAGATGAGCTATTGATTGATGTCAACCACCAAGGCCCAAGTGGAGTGATACACAGGCTAGTGCCTAGGGGTGTCAATGGTACTTGAAAATCTGATTTCGAATTCGATATTCGACATAATCAAATCAAATTCGAATATTCTATTCATACCATTTAAGTAATCGAATGGAATTTGGATATGACCTAATTCAATTTGATATTTATATATAAATAATTTATATATTTATGTACTTTATATAAATAAAACTTTTATTTTATATATTTATTAATTACCTAAAACAAATAATCAATCAAATTCGAATCGAATTAAATATTCAAATATATAATCGAATTCGGTTTCGAACATTGATTTTCAATATCCATTAGATGCCAACTCAAATTCAAATATCAAATTTTCTAATTGAATTCGAATTCAGATATTGTCTAATTCGATCATTAACACCCCTATTTAGGCCCCCCAAGAAAGCCATCCTATAAAAATCTGGTCCATTAAGGTTGTCTTTGGTTCGAAAAGATATTGGAAAAGGAATGAAAAGGTAAGTATAGGTCCTTTCCCTACCTTTTCTTTAAAACCAAACACAACCTAGGGTTTTATGGGTTCACTGTTGACTTAGAGGTATTTGGGACATATGGATCACGGGAGAAAGAAGTCTAAAACCTTAAATGATCCGAGAATATTCCATGTAGCAAAATGTATTAGCATCTGAAAGGGCATGTGGTTAAAAGTCTAACACAAGATGGAGGTATAGGGTTGACATGGACCGGAGAAAGTAAAAACTTATAAGTTGGTCCGACATAAGGAGTCTAACTCAGGATTTGATGCTCTCAAGGAGTCTGATAAGGAACTTGACTTAGGACCCCAAGTGCGTAGAAAATGGCATATTCACTCATGATTGGTTATATAGCCTGTCATACACAATCTTGCAAACACTAGATCTCGACTCAACTAAACTACCTAATTTTGCCGCTTGGAAGATTCCTAAAGCCAAGAACCACCTCTTTCCCTGTCAAACAACACGGCCTTCGCTTATTTAAAACATGTGGCAAAGTTTGATGTTAAAATTTATCTCTATTCTATAATGTTGGGCTTCACGTCCAAATCACCTTGCCAAAAATCTAATCCATTTATTTTCCTCTCTCCACACTCTAGATTCCTTTTTTACAACCAAAAGAAATAATAATCTCCTACGTACAATATGCATTTTAGTTTAGATACAATCTTTGTAGAGTATATTGTGTTATTGACTTTTTTATATTACATATTACACATTTATTATAGGGGGATTAAGGGCTGGAGGCAAAAGCAAGGTACATATGAGTTCCACTAACCTTACCATAGAGAGAGTGTGTAGTTACACATATTTGAACCCGTGCCTCCATCTAAATTGTTGGGTCATCATCATGTTATTAACCTCACTATATAACAATAAATAGAAAGTAAATTCATGCAATATTGCATGTGGTTTGAATAGAATTTGGTTAAATTTTAATTGCTAAATTTGGATTTTAACACTAGTTTGGATGGAGGCTACTATCCACATTTAAGCTTAGATCCCTACAAGCAAAAACTTTGCTCACATAGCATTCAACCACACACATTGGGAATATCTCCCATAATGTATATTGAATTCATGGGGAGGTTTTTGCTATATAAGACTGGATTCCCATGCTTTAAAAGTGTGTGCAAAGTTTTTACTTATAGGGAACCCCTGGTGTTTCATGTTTAGGGTTTGTCCTTAACTCGTTATATTTATTTTAATAATTCAATTTAAAAGTAGATAACAACATGAGAAAGAAATTCATGTCATGTGACTATGTGAGGATTGAGGTGAGAATACTCTTGATCTCCCTCTTTTCTCTATAATTAGTAAGCATGCACGTGCTTTGCATGTGGCAATTCTAGATAATAATAATAATAATATATTCAAAAAATTTTATGTATTTTTTACTTTTTTATTTTTTATTATTAATCGAATGTAGATTGAAAAATCTAAGTCTAATTACATAAACACCTCATCCAAATATATGACAATCGGATCGAGCTGTGAAATTTCAAGTATCATTTACAAACCTACCTATTTGTTAGACTTTTCTTTTTGTAGTGTTTTTTTATTTTTGGTGTATCTTTTTCTTTTGTTAATTTATCAAAAAATTGTAAGATTTAAATAGAAGGAATTGAATGAGGTGAAAAGTAGTAGTTCAATTTATAATTTAAACCTTACAATTAAATAGGGACTAAATTTAAAAAAATGAGTATTTTAGTCAAAAGAAAGTTTCACAATTTTATTCATATTTTAATAGTAATGTAAATATAGAACTATAGGTGTGTTCAATTTTTTCTACATTTTTTTTAATTTTTCTGTGTAAAAATAATTATAATATATCACACTTACTTTTTATTTAATATAATAAATATATGATATTATACATGTGCTTGAATGTTTTTTTGCAAAATTTATGTATTTTTATATTTTATTAATTTTTATTATTTATTTATGACATTAAAGGTTAACACATTTAACCCAAAAGTTGAACTATTTATTATTAAATTTTATATTTTATTTTTGGTTAGTTCTAAATCATGTATTTCATTTTCATTATCAATAAAAGTAATTCTTGTTTATTATACTTATTTTTTAATTTAATTAATAAAAATATCATAAATATGTCTAATTTTTTGTGATTTCTTATATTTATTTATATATATATATATTTTAAAATACTACCTAACTATGACTTTGTAAGTTGATCTATTTGATTCAAATTGTTGAATTGCTTAGCTACCACTTGGACAAAAAATGGTTTTGTTTTTGAGAATTTTAAAACATATGGGTTTATATTGTTAAAAATATTGACATAGATCTAACTAGTAGCATTTATTAGTGAAAAATAACTTAAAAAATATAGGATTTAATAAGAGAAAATGAGATTTAATACTTTGAATAATAGTTGAAGTTACATTTTTAACCCTTACAATTAGAAATGGATTAAATACAAAAGTATAAGCATTTCAGTAGACATAAAGCTGACATTAAAACTTTAATAAAAATGACTTTTATACCATTTCTCAAACAAAGAAGTAAGGGTTTGCATATGGAAATTCTAGATGATGATAACTATAGTAATAATATATCAAAAATTTTTTATAAACTTTGTGTATTTTTTTGTTACTTTTTTTTTGTTTTTTTATTATTAATCGGATGCATATTGTAAAATTCAAATCTGATTATATAA